ATCGTGTAGTTGATTCTATTTAGCAAAGATAGACAGCGAATATTTCAGTTTAAAACGAAAGATTGTAGAATTTGAAATTAAGTGATTCATCTATTCTAAAACATAGTTGTGTCTCGTCCGTTGGACCTTTTATATAGCTAAATATATCAGCTTTTCGGTAAATTTTTTTCGCAAATTAGGTAGAGTTTAAAAATTTAATTGGCATACCTAGTGGCAATAAAATAACAGTTAAAACCGAAGTGTATGAAGATCACATTCCTTTTACATATAACCCGCATTAGAATGTATTTTTTGATATGACTTTATGGAAATATTGAAGAAGGGGGACTGACATATAAATTGTATATCTTTCATAGTCATTTGTCAATAGTATTTAATTAGCTACTATAAACATCTGCAAGCAAGTTTCCAATAAATAAAATAACTTACAATATGTTCTAACAAAATAAGGTCAGTTAAAACAGGTCTTAATCTTGCTTCAAAATCATCAGTGCTGATTAATATATATATATATATATGTATGTATGTAAAATACAACGGGGAAGGGTAAAAACAGTGATTGACTTAAAGTTAAGATTCATTGCATGAATTTAGGCGAGTATTATTCTCTGCTTTATTTAATTTATGAAGGTTTCTTTACTTTTTAGGTATTTTTTTACTTTTTTACTAAAAAATTCTAGTACAATAATCATGGTTTAGTAAAAAAGTTAAGCGAAAATGCGACTAATTAATAGTTCTTACAATTAATATACTGACCAGCTTCTTTTCGAGCAAATTACATTATACTTAAATACAAATGCAGTTACTTCTAAACTGTATTGCCTTTCATTTATTTTTCTTCTTCTCTTTGCACTTGCAAGAATGCTCTTCCATGCTCTTATGCGCCGATTCGCTATGAACCAAGGAGCAGAGCGTCACGTTTCGTTAATTGAATTCAAACATTAAGCTGTGCTGCCCTCTCTCTCTCTTCAATAAAAATGTTTGTTGAAAGTAATGCTGCATTTACATGAGGCGATTTTCTAGGCTATTCAACATTGCTCAAGAAAAATTTCAGGCGTAAATGGTGATTCAAACATCGCTTGCCTAAAAGAAGACAGCAAGTCTACTTTTGCAGGCGATTACTACGTGTCAAGAAATCGCCTCATCTAAAAGCCGCTTACTATACATTTGCTTGTCTTGGTTTGTGGCACCTCCGTAGTACTTACTTGTATGTAAGGCTGACACCTGACAATGTTGCACGTTGTCAATAATAAGTATCAATTTACAAATTCACAAACAGCATGCAAGGGTTCTATTCTACATTGTCGAATTTGATCACGTACATGGTTTTACAGGCTAATCGAATAACTAATAAACGGAGGACGCAACGAAATTAAGATATACATATAAATTTGAGGCAATTTAAACAGACCAGTCACACAGTGCCGCCTAAATGGGGAAAAAGCGAAAAATCGTTGTCTGCAATGTGAAGACGTTTTTAAATGTTATTTATCCACTAAAAAGAATTAAACCGAAATTCGCCTATAAAATAATTATGTTCCGTCAGGAACGAAATTTTCTTCTATAAAATTTTTTGAAATCAGCTTGTAGCTGTCAAGAAAAAAAATCGTATATTAGGCTTGTTCCCCAAGCAACTCGAAGTCAATTCGAGTTACACATAAGCGTTCCTCAAGTAAGTTTTAGGCTGCGTTTCAGTAGATTCATTTAAGTGAAAATTACTTTAATTTACGAATTTTTGGTTTCACCAATCAATTTTAATTAGTTATTAATATTGATTTAAGTAACCTATACTCTTCACTTAAATAAAAATTAAATTAGAGTAACCACACTCAGAGATGTTACACGTTTAATCAGCTGATCAATATACACAAACCACAATTTTGTGTATCTGCTGCTAACTTGTATACCAGCCCTGCTTTTAAAACACAGCATGCCGAAGCTTTCAAAAGCTCTCAGTACAAATGAAAGCTTTCGCTGGTCAAGTCTGTTTTACAACTACTTTTTACTCACTTAAATAAAGAGCTTATTCAAACTATAAATAATTTAAATGAGAATTAAATAAAAAATTAAATTAAAGTTACTTTACACTTAAATGAGTTTGGAGAAACGCAGCCCTAGAGTTTCTTTTATATACGCTTACACTTTGAACTTTGCTCGAGCTTTTCTACAAATATCTTGTGAAACAAACCTATTTATTTCTTCAAGAAAATTGATAGCCAAAGCAAAATACTTTTTCAAGCAACAGAAATAA